AATTGGGTCTTAGTGGAGTGTAATTTAGATTTTGAATTTTTCAATTGATTCAATTGTACCCCTAATTACTTCAATTACACTTTTCTTTAATGCAATTGTGTCTTTGGATGTAATTTATGATTTTTTTTGTATTTTTTTTTAATTCCTAAAATAAAATAAAAAAAGGAAGTACACTAAACTAAAATAAAGTAAAATAGAATAGAATAAAAAAAACAAATAATTAAAAATTAAAATTGTAATGGATGAGATTTTTTTGGTTATGACATGTAATAAAATTTTGACCAAGGTGTTTAACTTTAATTTTTAATTGAATTTAAATAAATAAAATAAACCAAAGATTTAGAGGAGTTTTTATGAGGGATTCACATGATTTGATGTGTGATTCTTCAATGAGTCAATTTCGTTGAAGTATTTTAGTCAAATTATGCGTCACGTAAATTTTTGTTAATTGAATCGAATTATGTAAGTATAAAAAAATACAACATCAAATTTACAAAATTATTTATACAAGTTCCATTTGCGGATTTGATACAAACATAAAGTTCAAAAAATGGGATTTTTCCGATGCCTATCTTAAAATTGAGCGAAATTCAGTCATCAGTCATTACCGTTCACTAGTTTTTGACGCATTCTCAGTGGTGTTGTATCTATCATACGTTGAGCCGACAAATTTTTAGCCCATTTACATATTAATTTATCAAGAAGAAGATGAAGGAGCTACAATCTAAAAGTAAAGCCCAATTTAATGTTGATTCGATCAGAGCCCTTTTTCAGGAATTGCCTACTAATTTTTATTTTTTTATTTTATTTTAAGTTACAGCTTGATTTTGACTTTCCAAAAATTCCATTGAATGCGTTGCAGGATGCACTCAAATTTTCGGTTGGGATGGATTGGCTAGGAGCAGGTTCATAGATTTAATAGTAAGGTCAAGATCCAGGGTTATGGACCATGGCTGGGTGTGAATTGGAACTTACTATGCATGGCCACAGTCAAGAATGAAGATCTTCGAGATCGATCTACACATTGGCATGCTCCTCTCTCCATTTATTAAGGGTTGTTAAAGAGTCTTCCATCTTCCATGTTAGGGTAGCAAAAATTTTGGGTTGAGCTTCTATGTCAATCCGTAAGAGAATTCGAAGTAAAGGGGTCAAAATTTTGTTGTACAAAATCTATAAGCAACACCCTATACCTTAGCCATGTGCTATCAAGCCTTTACTGTTTCTATGGTTCGTTAATTAATTGCTCCACCAGTCCAAGTGAGAGAGAAATGGGACATAAAAATGGGACCTTTTAGCTCCCCAGTCAAAGGAAAAAAAAAAAAAATTACCAGCAAACAGTTTTGTTTAACAGGAATTTTCTTCTGTCAAAGTGACAAAAAGAAAGAAAGAAAAAGATGGGTTCCATAATATTCACGCCAAGCCCACTCTTCCATATTCAAATAGATTCCCTCTAAAATTGGGTCTATTATTAGTAGAATTCTTGATCCTCATAGAACCAAGATGGCTAACAAAAGCAAAGCAAAGCAAAGGGTAGGGTAGGGCCTTTAGAAAACCTAAAAAGCAACGCTGACGAGAAGAGTATCAAATTCTGTCCCTCTTTGTGCCCTCTTCTATTCTTGGTTTTCTTTTCTTTTTTACCTCATTTCACTTACCCTTACCCTATCAAAGGCTCCACCACCTCCTCTTTCTTTTGACCACACCCACTTCTTCTTGATTCTGTTGAATTCTTGTATACACGCAATCTTCCTATTGTTCATACTTGTGTGCTTCACAAAACGGGTAAAAAAAAAAAAAAATAGCATAGCTGTAATGGTGTCCTCGACTATGAAAGTGAAACATTGAATTCTTACCGTTGGCTATTAAATAAAAAGTATCTTCATACATGCGAGAATCATGCTTAGTATATGTGCATTGTGATTTCAAATAGCAACGTAATTCAATAAAAAAATATTATTCAGATTTAGTTATTCAGATTTAGTTATGTAAACCAAATCGATCATATTTTAAGAATAGATGAATTTTAGAAAATAATACAAAATTATTTTTGAAACCTTACTTAATAGATTAAACTTTAGATTGAAATGATTTTTTAATAATATCATAGTCTTGCTTACTAAATATTTTATGCAAGTTTCAAATCTTTTCAATTGAAGAAACATATTAAAAAATAATATAAAATTATTTATAAGTTCTTATTGTCCTCACCAATTTTACCTAATAGTTTAAATTAAAATACTATTCTTTCTATAGTAAAATACTACAGTTCACTGTGTCTAACTAATTAAAAGGTTTTGATCTATATAAATCCAATCAATAGATGGATGTACTATTTTCTCCGTAATTGAAAGAGAGCATCCTAAGTTGTAATCATAAGGCACGAGCCTAGGAGCTTTTGTTGGATGGGTATGTACAAGATGTAGAATACGGTCAAATATATGCCATGTGCATGGCTCATGCATGTCTATACGTATTCCCTAAGAAAGAGGTGAAGTTGAACCAAACGGTTGCTTGCTACGTCTTTAGTCCTTTAAAATCAATCAACCTACTTGAATAAGCATTGATTTTCACAGATTCTACTGTGTCTATTCCTCATTTCGATGAGAAGGCTCAGTCCACTATTTAATTTTACCTTTGTCAGCAGTATCTTCTTTTCCCCCTCTTTATGTCACATTAATTTTCATCAATAAATACCCTGTACAACCTTCCCAACTGGCCCTTCTTGTTCACAACACTCTCCCTCTCCCTCTCTCTCTCTCTCTCTCTCTCTCTCTCTCTCTGTACTGCTTTCTCTCTCTATCTCGAAACAAGAAGGGGTCTTTTTCTCACTGGAACTCCATTCCCAACCCAAGATGTCACGTAAAGGAAGCAAGCGAGTGAGTTTCAGTCCTGATGTCAATGATAAGCCAACAATCTTTCTTAAACATGGAAGTGGAACTAGAGTAGGTGGAAACAGGAAGAAGATTGCTGGAATTTTCACTTTTAGGCTTCCTAGAACCTCAAAACTCTCACCAGCAAGACTACTAATGCGCCTCAGTGCCAAGGTAGCAAGAGTTCTACGTTTTGTGTCCATGAGAAGGAAATCTTCACGCAAGGTCACTTCATCAAGTTTGCCAAGATCAAGATCACTTGCTGAGGCAGTAGACTCACAGCGAGCTGAAGCTATCGAAGATTGCATTGAGTTCCTAAATTCTTCATCCTCTTTGCAGAGGTCAAACTCAGTTACTACAAATTCTTACTAGATTCTGAAGTCATGAGAAAAGTATGTATATTAAGGGAACAAAAAGAGTGCAAATTATTTCATTGATCATCGGTAGTGTCTTAGTTTTTTAGTTTCTTACAGAGAAGTATGCAAATACACAAGGGTAATCAGCAGTAGTAGCAACAGCCACTAATATGTTCATGCATAGAGTTTGAGTATCAAGAATGTTTTGCATATATACGAGGTTGAGTCTAATTCTCACCCAGTACAGGAAGCACCTTCTTTGAAGCCAAACCAGACAACTAATTTCATGTATGATAATTCAACAGCATACAACTAATCGATACAGACCATTCCAAGGGTGGGCCAACCCTAGAGGGTCGAGCCTACCTAACACTAAAAGGTCTAGTCACTATCATGGCCATAGCCATTACACAACAAATATCCCAACTGGAATTCACTTTTTTCGTTTTTTCTTTTACTGTGATAAAATTAGCCAACTGGCTCAAGAAACTCGATCACAATTAGAGCACGAGTCATGGACTCACAGTTCACACAGTGCCTTCAATAATAGGAATGGCTCGATAATTGTCCAGTAATCATGTCTAGGCATTGTTCTTGACACTAACTTGTCTGAACATCATTTGCCGATAATTTGAAGGGACAAAAGGAACATTACGAGGAAAAGCACTTATTACTAATCACTGAATGTCAACTAATTAACAGCAGGCTAGTACAACAAAACTAACCTTTCCAAATTCGTTTGCTCATGTCATGTGCAAGGAATAGTATCAAATGGCACAATCAAGAATATCCACAGAGAGCTTGTGAAAGTTCTCGGATGCAATAACTTGAAGTTTTGTAAATTCAAAAGCTCTCTTATAGGGAAGGGCAATTTGGGATTGTATGGAATCTAAGCTCCTGTGGGTTCCCTCAGCACTTTCGGCAGCGGATATGATCAGTCAGCGTCATACCTACTGAGGTCCCCGCAAACTAGAAATGAGATAAACAGCTTATTCGGCTGATTGAAGCACCCGTTATCAGATCTAATTTGCTACAACTAAACTCTAATGGAGGAAAGTGAAAATTGGCAATTGCCTAAAACAAGAAGTGTCCAGAACAGGAACCTAGTTTGAACCAGTAATTCGCTCACTGTTGAGCAATAATTTGTCCCAAGTGGTCAAAAGAATAGGTGCTGAGGTAAATACGAAATTTTAGCCTATAATTGCTGAAGGTCTGAACAAAGTACTTTTTTGATTCTTCCAAATAAAAGACATTTGAAGCTGTAGCCAAATAGATGGCATTCCCTGGAACTAAAAATAAAAGAACTGGCAATAATAAGACAAATTAATTGGAGAATAGGGACAACCTGCACTTTACATGCAAAGCCAAATTAACATTCTAATTTAACCCTTTCTATGTGTGGATTCTCAATCCTGTGTCTCCATTCACTATCCCCAATGATATGAATTGACTGCAAATGAGTAATCCAAAAAGTTAGGTTGCCTAATCATTTATAGCTCATAATTAAAGAATTTAAAAACATAAAAAACATAGGTACGTAGTAAACTTTTTCTAGTTGCTTATAAGTAGTTTAAGAAGAAAGCCTAGGGCCTGAGGTTCTTGTCTGACTGAAGTTTGCAGCAAGTTGCAAATTTAAAAGACATTATCCATTAAAGAAAGGAGGAATAATTATGTCTCAGTGGATAATAGGCCAAACATTTCAAACAAAGAGTGCAATTCTAGATATAGATGTTAGCAGCCAATGTGTGCGCAGTGCGCACACCATGAAATACTTCACCTAGTTCATCTGTGCTGGAGGGGCTTCCGACCTTTTCCAGGAGGTAATAAAATTCCTTTGGCCTACATCTCTCAAGAGGGGAACAGTTCTCTTAATTGCAAATGCCTCTGCAATCTGAATGAGAAACAATATAATGCCAGCTTTGTGGTCAATTCAATCAACCAGCCATGTGGACGGCATTTACAAATTAAGATAATCTACTAGTATTCTAGCGGTCCAGGACAGGTCTATTGTCTGATGGATCCACATCTAACCTATCCAGAACGTATGGGATAGTTATGTGAATTGGGTGGTATTGCTTTTGAACAGTATTTTCATATTGAGTCTTTTTTCCTCCCTCAGTCCCTTCGATGGATAAAATATAACCACAACAACACTTTTTACATCTAGAAGCAAGGGTTTGGAAATATGAAAAACTGTGATTAGAAAACTGCATCGCTTGTGTTCAATAATAGGTTTGTCAGAACTCAATTTCTTGAAAAAGTTCCTCATGTGTGTTGCCGGACTCAATGTATGATACGGAGACACAAGGCTTACTATAAATCCGTAGCCCTTTGGCAAGTGATGAACTTTGGTATCTGGGACGAGTTAAATTCAAAGTGTACGGGAGCAGCGAAGAAAATAAGAGAAAAAGTTAACTCGCAAATGTTGGAATTACGGCTGCTTTTTGGTTTTGCAAATGTCTCCGTAAGGGCAAATCACTTTAGCTGCAACAGAAGCAAACAATAAATAAACTTCATTTTGGAAAAGCAACAATCTCAATTCCATTTTACCGGTTTTCTCATGCACTAATGGGGCACAAACACACGAACCAAAAATACTTAAGTAATAATGTTCAAGTCTTTTAAATGACTTCAAGCACTTTCTGCTGGAACTGTGATAGTTCCTTAAACATGTGCATCAGTGCCACAAAAATGATCCAAAGGAAAAGATGAAAATGAAATAAAAAAAGAAGGGGGACAGACCTGCTCACAACACTATTTATGAGCAAAACAATAAGTTTGAAATTATTATTTTAGTCGTTAATGTGCAATCAATATTTCCAGATCATGCACCACAAATATTTTGCCTTTGGCCAATACTAATCAAGAGCTTACTTGCCGCTTGTACACAGAAAGTGGGTTAGCTGCTTGTTGTCTTAGGCTCGACAAGTCTAAGATTCTATCTTTTTAGCTTTTATCTTCCTTTCTTGGCCACTATTGCTATTTCTTACACGAGTTGAACTCGTCTCACAAAAACACTAATCGCCTATGGTCTCAAAATTGGGTATAAGAAAACAAACTTTTACCTTGAATAATGGGTGATGATTAAAGCAATAACACATATCCACTACATACCATGACCTTATCCTAAAAATCGAGATGTTAACAAGCGTATTGCTTACTTCATAGGGGAGAAGACTAGCAACTTTTATCTTCTCCATGGTATATCTTCATAATAAAATTCCCACCTTCTCTTATTATCCGTAAGAAAATTGTCAAAAAAAAAAAACAAAAAAAAAAAAACAAAAAAAAAGCAATCCAACCACTATCAACCCATGACAACCTTCAACAAGATTCGTAAACCTTTTCTGAAGAAAAATGAAATATGAAATTAAAAAAAAAAAAAAGAAGGAAAATACATAAATTATATTCAGATTTGCATGCTGTACTCACTAACTCATTATCACACTTAAGAAACAACCTATGGGTACTAAATATGTTGGCATAAAATAAACACCTGCAGGCTACGGCTAATAACTCAACCCAGTGCAGGGCAACATCACTTCTACTCATTTTAAAGCCAACAAGAATTTGCGTAAAAAAAGCTGCCCTTACCCGCTTCAGCTGTTCGGGCATTGGTGATATCATCCTGCACCTCAATAAAATCTTGTATTGGTATTGGTGCCATGGTTGCCAAAAATGATCTGCAAAGCATGCCATAGAAAGTCATCAATCTCAAAACGAAAGCAGAAAACTATTCTCTGCATAGGTTGTACATGGAAAAGCCAGAGCCTATCATCATCAATACATGGTAACCTGAACTCTTTGAGTTCTTTCTGATTCTGAATCAAAATCGCCGCCCAAAAGAAAGGAAGAAAAAAAGAAATTCGGCTCAGTCATTTCTTCAAACACCTTATGCACGTAGGGACAGTATACAAAAATCGCTATACCTAAGGATCAAGGGCGGGAGCGAGTTGAAGAGCAACTACAGTACGGTTTTTAATTATTACCTGTTTTTTTTTTTTTTTTTTACCGTGATATGAAGGGTAACCCTATTTATGAGTAAATTATAAATTAATCTCTTTTGTTTAGAGAATGAATTAATTAGTTTTTTTTTCTATAAAAAATTAACTTTTTATGTTTTAATTTTATCAATAACTTTTTCATTTCATCACTTTTTCTTCAAATTAATAATTTTTATTCTCAAATTGTTTTTTAAGTTGAGGATAAAGAAAAAAGTGAAAAAAAAGAGAAAAAAATATTAAAAAAAGCAATTTGAGGAGAAAAAAATTGTTAATGTAACCAAAAACTAATGAAAAGAGCATACTTAAAATATAAAAACCTAAATGATTAATTAATTTATTTCTTCAAATGAGAGGGAAAAATTCATAATTTACTCCTCTATTTATTTATTTGGCAAGGTACAGCAGTTATGCGAAAAAGAGGAATGAAGAAAGCTTGAAGCGACGAGTCGTTTGCGCTGTCATCCGTTGTGGCCTTGCGTGCTCGTAAAATCACGTTGTTACATTTTTCTTTTCCAGCATTGTCTTAAAATACAAATGAGAGCTCTGTGGAAACTGGAAAGCCACCCCTTCCAGATACCAGCAATGGAAAGGATCAGAATCCACTTAAAAATGGATGGGAAATCAGAATCAACATTAAAGCCAATGTAAAAAGTTCGGCTATCAAGCATTTTAAATTTGCATGGATGCATAGCATCAGAAGAGGCCCTAAACAAAAGGTTCATGTAAGGTAACAAAAGTTTCAAAAAAAAAAAAAAAAAAAGGCATTAAAGATAGTGTAAAAGATCTAATCTAAATAGTTTATAATGCATAACAAAATACAGTTCAATTCTGCTACCTAACAGAGCTCAAGTTAGGAGGAGCCTTGTCATCTTTAATAGCATATCCCGGAAAGGCATGATTCTCAAGATGCTAAGCCTTAACATAAGCTGGTTCGCTCGACATTTGATGCTGCAGTTTTGTCATGAACCAAATCCTAGACTCCAGGAAAAGGTTTCAGATTCCATTGCCAGCTGGGACGTTTGTTTGTTTTGCATCCTCAGCTTTCTCGTGTTCTTTGTTGAGAATCTAGAAACAAAATTTGCAAAGTGAAAGGAATGTCATCACCATTCATGAGAAAGTTGTACAGCATGTATTAATTATTTGAATGGGAGACGGTGTATCACCTTATTGTTGATCAGGTTGTGGAGTGCAATGACACTTCGGATGAGAGATGAGAGATATATTACTAACATCATATCATTTGTTTTTACTGCACAAAGACAAAATGAATCAAAGAACTACGAAGTTGATATTAGGGAATAGGTAAATATGGCATTACAATATTTATTACCAGCAAAACCCTTAATCAACTCGGTCACATTAAGATTTGGTAGTAAGTTGAACACATCCTGCAGTAACAACACATGAGAAAAATATGTCATTGGAGCTTGAAAGATTTGAGAGAACAGTATACAACTAAAACAAGCCCTAATTCAGGCATAATATGGTCTGGAACATGATCCTTGTTTTCATTAACAAAACTAGGTGTTCGCTTCCCATCCATCTGTCCTCGCTACTCAACTTGCCATTCCATACTAATGAACATTGGTACGCATCCAACTTATCTAGGGTCTGGCTAAGGGAGAGTGTTCACAATTCATGCAAATGGGATCTCATACTTTGGATTCATTTCTGAAATCAACACAATTTGTATTAACATTTGCTTTCAGGTCATAATGTTGACTTGCACTACCATCTCTTTCCAGGCATAGTAAACATATCTAATTTCCTTCATTCTTTCAGAAATCAGGGCAGCAACTCTTTCTTCTTGGTAAAGTTTTTTTGTCTTTTTCATAGTTCCTTTTCACTTCTAGTTTCATGAAAAGCTATAGGAAATTCAATAAAAAAGTAAAAAGAAAATAGTCATGAAGGAGGGCATAATAGAGAAACTGAGAAAGTTCATTTTTTATGACTCAAAGTGTGATATAAATTAAAGAAGATTATACAAGGAAAGTGAAAGTGCTTCCAAGGTAGTAGCAGTGAGCACAAAAACAGAGCCTAACAAAAGTAATGGACCAGTAGACACTAGAAACACAAGAAAGAAAAACAGGGACAAATATTGACCACATGGAGCACAAGACCTGTTCCAGAAGAAACAAGACTGATAAAGCAATCAGCACAAGGTGTAGAAGCTATTGAGTCAATATTATCACACATCAAAGGAAGAAAACAGGTGTCAAAACTGGGATCTTTGAGCCAAAAATTGCCCAACCTCTCCAATAGACTCTAGGCAGAGGCAGAGAGATAAAACAGCTAGTTTGTCAACCACAGCAGGGGAACAACAGAGGAGCAATACATGATGGCACTCCAAAAACTGATTTCAAGCTTTATTAAACAATAAATAAATGATTTCAAGTGAAGGCACAGATCCATTCAGATGCTGAGCACACCATACCGCACAACAAAGTCCATGGCACCCCAAAACTGAATTCGAGGAGGGATATAACCAAACAAGCCATCCATGGAGAATTGACAAACCAAATCCTAAGATGGATTTGGATCAGCAAAAACAAGTCTTGGGCCTACTTTTCCTTCTAATCAACAGCCACCGCAACTTAGGAGGTTCCTCTAACCAAATATTGTGGATAATAATTACCAGCTGCCTTGGCATGGCAGCCATTTGCTTCCATGTAGTGATTGTTAGTAACATATAAGCGTGATTTGCAATTACTACAAACTCTAAGAACCCATTTGAATTTTTTTTTCAATGCCATACGGAAGCTGTCTGTGATACATGCTGCCACGCCTATGCCTGAGCAGCAGGAAATTATTATTCAAATATTATATTCAATACACAAAGCATGTTGATCCAGAAGTCTACATGAAAGTTAGAAAGGAAAATTTGAACAACATCCAAAAGCAGCAACGGTGGAAAGATGCATAGAAACACATCAAATTCCAGGTATAATTTAAGTCAAACATTTTAGATCAGGTTATTTCAAATCAATCTAACAGTTACAGAGCACGTTTGCATTAGCACAGGAGCTCGCCCTATCCAGATGCTTTCTTATATTTGAGGGCAAACTTTTAGCGACAGGACTATTTTAAATCACTTTTTTAGGATTTTTCATCCAATGCAAATTTTTATAATTCATGTTATATAAAGTAACATAAAAAAAGAACCTCACTTATCAAGGGGCAAAAAACAAAAACAAAGGAAACTAATCATTCTTGCAATTTAGCCCAGAGTGAAAACATACAAGAGCATAAACATTGTCAAACGCTATGCCAAAGCAATGCCAAATCCAACAGCCTCTTTTAGCTTGGCAAACATAATAACACGCACACCCAAATTCACATATACTTACAGTTTGACCTCATACATTGGGATGACAATCAAATGAACAAACCGCATGAGAAAGTAATGAAGCATACCTGTAAGTGATAAAGTATCTCGTGATTTAAAGGAAGCTTTTCATCAATGACAAGATCAAGGTAGCCACGTATTTCTCTCAGTCGTGCATCCAAGCCCTTTAAGGCTGTAAGTTTACCAGTAACCTAAGAGTACAAAAGGTAACTGTGATCAGATATAAATCATATAATCTAACATTGTAGAACCAAAAATCAAATGCTTGAGGCACTTTTCGCATTGATGAAAAGTCATCGCGTCAACAATTGAGCAAAGACAACAAGAGCAGAAACAAACCTCAGTTGCAAGTGTACTAATGGTTGTATCCTTAACATCCCTAAGCAAGTGTTCGACTCCTGATGACAATGACATGAATATCATTAATGACAATAAAGTACCAAATATTTAAAATATTATTTTCACTTGAAGCTTGTTCAACTTCTACAGAATCATGAATGGACGCAAATTGCAAAATAAGATTAATGACAATAAAGTACCAAATATTTAAAATATTATTTTCAATTGAAGCTTATTCAACTTCTACAGAGTTGTGAATGGACACAAATTTCAAAATAAAATGAAAAAGAGCCTGAAATGTTTCTTTGTTGAGGTCTTCTACGTACCAATTTCCTCAACCTCATGAGCAGCAATTTCTGAAGGCACGTGAACAAAGACCTTCTGGCTTTTTTGAGTAGCATTCTGTTACCATAATCAAACATTAGCTCTCCATATGGAAACAAATAGAAGCAGTGGCGAAGAAAAATAAAACAACTATTTGAACTTTATTAGTAGTCTTTCCATAATATCACATAAACCGTCCTTAGAAATTAAACCAGCCATATTGAATTCCTACGTGATGTAATGCATTAGTCATGAACAGGAACGGGATGAGGGACAAGGAATCCTTTTTACCTCTTTAACCTCTTCAACATCATAATAGGCCTTGGTGGGAATTCCCAACTCCTTAGGTTGGACGTCAATAATCACCAAAACTGGATTCGGCACATAGCTACATTACCCAAAGAAAAAAAAAAAAAAACCTGAGAGATCAACAAATTGATCTAATTACAAGCCTCCTAGGCCTCATGCAAACTTAATTTAACAATCAAGGCAGTAGTATAGATGGCAATAGAAATGAAAGGAAAAGAAAGCCAAATGCATGAAAGCATCTAAAACTGGATCCTCAATTAGGGAATAACATGATCTTACTTGTGGAACAATTGGTGAATATCTAGATCATTCTCACGCAATTTCGGACCCGTGCTATACCAACCTACGACATGCTCCTTAGCTGAAACAATCCCCCACAAATCATCACAAAAAACACAACCAAAATAGAAATAGTTGCTTAAACACAAAGCAAAAACAAGAAGTAAGACATACCATTTATTCTCTTGAACATGGAAAACATAGATTCATGGTAGTTATGGTCAAGAAACCAAATACTGGAGTCCTTGTCATCTTCTTCAAAAGGCACTGAAATTACAAAACAAACCCAACATCAGAAAACCCCTAAATTGAAAATCCCAGATTCCATATTTCACGAATTTCCTCAAAAAAAAAAAAAAAAAAAAAAAAAAGAAAAAAAGAAAAAAAAAAAGAAAAGGAAGGAGAGACAGAGCGAGAGAGAGATGAAGACCTACCTGCATAGCTGTTCGTGACATCAATGGTGCCTTTAAAGGAGCTACCAAGTAAGACACCTATGACACGCTTGCGGCTGTCTTTGGCGACTCGGGTATAGTTGTCGACGATGCTGAGTAGTACCAGTGGATGCACTATTACTTTCTCTATCGGCTTCGCTTGTACTTGCTGTGTTTTTATCACGTCCATTTTTATTCAATTTTGGGGTTCTCTTCGTTTCTTTTGTAAAACCCTTTGTTTTGGTCCTCCGCTCTCCTGTTACTCCGCAGTTCTTTCTTTGCAAATAAAGAGGAACGATTCTATTTTTTTTTCTTTTTTTTTCCCCTATTTTGTAAATATGGGAAATTTTACTCTTTAAAAAAGTAAAAAAAAAAAAAAGAAAAAAAAGAGATCTCACTTGAGACAAGAGGCCGGTTTAGAAGATCAGCTATTATTATTTACAAGATCCACATTTCCCCATTTATTAGTTGACATATCACTTTGTATGGAATTTTAATATAACAAATTTGTTTATGGCATTTTTTATTTTTCAATATTTGATAATTAATAATGCGAAAATGAAAATATGAAGATGACGTAATGATGGTCGTGATGGCTTCGAAAAAAGGACCTATGGAGAAAAATTGAGTGAAAAAGATTTTTGGCGAAGATGTGTTGTTAATGGCACAATAGTGATTTTATAGGAGATTGGCAACCACGGTGTTTTTTCCCTTCAATTAACACAAACATCAACTTGTTGCTTATTTCAAAAAAAATAAATAAATCTAATTTATGGGCCGGTAGCCCCAGCAACCTGGCCCAGTCCGGCTTCAAATGGATGAGTCTGGATTAAAAAATTTAGATTTCAGCCCGGCCGGATTTTAAACCGGGCCCAGTCTGCAAAAAGTTTTCTTGGCTGGCCGGGCCGCCCGGTTAGGTTTATAAGAAGAATTATAAACGACAAAAAAAAAAATTTTGAACACAAAAACATCAACTTGTTTTCTTCACTTTCTAATTTTGAATTTTTTTTCAATTATTTTTTTATTAAAATTAAAAATTTCTGTAAGATCTCTATTAATTTTAACGGTGAAATTACACGTAATTGACTTTTTTAAAAAAACTAAAAATATATAAATATTTATAAATATTTTATTTTTTTCCTAAAAAAAAAACTGTTTATTTCCTTCAAAAATATTTTTTAATTGGTTATTTTTTAATGTTTAAGAAAACAATATAAGTTTTAAAGAAAAAAAATATTTATAAGTTTTGACATAGTTTTAAGTATTAAAGAATTGTAATTATATGTAAAATTTATAAAAAATCTAATAAAATAATTTAATTTTAAATAAAAAATAATTAGAAGATATAATTTAAAATTTAAAATTTAAAATTCTATTTTCAAATAACTTATAGTTCTGTTTGAACTGTTCAGCCAAATAAAAATTCATAACTATTATTTCTTATCAGTTCCTTTTTTTTTTTTCGCCATTAAAAACACCACCGCAATGAAACGTTACTTGGTGAAAAGTTGACAGCATAAAAAAGATTTGAAATTATTACTAGAGAAAATAAAATATTATTAAAGAAAAATGCTTTTTTTTTCTTCATCTAAATGAATCAAGTTTCTGAATAGACTGTAAAATACTTTATCTTATTTGATACAAAACATTTGAAATTTTTATTAAAGAAAAAAAAACATTTGGATTATGAAAATTTTAAAATATACCCAAAAATCAACTGACGCGACACGACATGACACGACAGCCTTTCGCGAAAAAAATATAGAAATAACTGAAACAGAACATGGAATATACACAGTACTCTTCCTCTTCCGTTGCTCCTCCTCTTTGAGGCACTCCTAGAAAAACCTAGTCTCCAAATCATCGTTGTTGTTGTCGTCTGATCCCTGCTTCTTTTTTTTCTGTAAAATTAAATAAAATCAATAAAAATGGTGTTGGCAGAGTTAGGCGGGAGTATATCCCGAGCAATCCAGCAGATGAGCAATGCAACAATCATCGACGAGAAAGCATTAAACGATTGCTTAAACGAGATCACCCGCGCTCTTCTTCAATCCGATATTCAATTCAAGCTTGTTCGCGACATGCAAACCAATATTAAGAAAATCGTCAATCTTGACGATCTCGCCGCCGGTCACAACAAGCGCAAAATCATCCAGCAAGTAACTACCTTTACAATTTTTTATTTTTTTGGAATTCCGAATGAATTTTAATTAATTAATTAATTAAATTCGAGTAATAATAAATAATTCAGGCAATATTCAATGAGCTGTGCAAAATGTTGGACCCAGGGAAGCCATCTTTTACTCCAAAGAAAGGAAAAACTAGTGTTGTTATGTTTGTTGGTTTACAAGGTATTCTTGTTATTATTTCTTGCACTTTATTTATTATTTATAAAAATAATTTGATTAATGAGAACTCTTTTGATTGTTTAGGGTCTGGGAAAACTACTACGTGTACGAAATATGCTTATTATCATCAGAAGAAAGGATGGAAACCCGCGTTAGTTTGTGCTGATACCTTCAGAGCTGGTGCTTTTGATCAGCTAAAACAGAATGCAACGAAAGCTAAGATTCCATTTTATGGAAGGTAGGTAGTAGTAGTGCTTAATAATGTAATCTAGCGATTCAGTGTGTCGTTGTTACCAGTTGAAAATGCGTTTGCAATAGTATGTAATTTAGTCCGTCTTTTTGTTGTTGTTGTTGTATATAGCTATATGGAGTCAGATCCTGTTAAAATTGCTGTGGAAGGTGTGGAAAGATTTAAAAAGGAAAATTGTGATCTTATAATTGTTGATACTAGTGGACGGCATAAACAGGAAGCTGCGCTTTTTGAAGAAATGCGACAAGTTGCTGAAGCAACGGTATTTTTCGTTTTTGTTTGTTAATTGCTTTGCATGCTCTAGTTATGGCAATACTAATCATTGAATGTCATTGGCACTCAAAAAAATTGTTTCCTTTCTGTTTTGACGCTTTCAGAAACCGGATCTTGTTATATTTGTCATGGATAGTAGTATTGGTCAGGCTGCATTTGATCAAGCTCAAGCATTTAAGCAAAGTGTTGCAGTTGGAGCTGTTATTGTTACCAAAATGGATGGTCATGCTAAGGGTGGTGGTGCACTTAGTGCGTGAGTATTTCTTGCAGTTTTGTAGTCATTCCATATTCAATATTATTCATAATTTGATCTAGCGCTTTGTGAAAATATCTTAAACCATTACCGCTGGAATTTTTTTGAAAATGAATATACCTCAACACCTTTGTTTTATGTAAGATTAGCTTACATATATCTTTAAGTTGATATTCTGAATTTGCTGCATTTGGGATTTTTTTTTTCATTTTTCTTTTGTGTATTTTTCTTTCATGTATCCGTGCCTTGTCCTTTTCCATTTATTGGAATAAAATTTATTTAACACAAGCATAAAAGAAACTCTACTTTTGGATTACCAACAGATATATTATTGGATCATGCCAAAGGTTACTCGTGCTTAAATAATTATGCTAATTGTTTTATGTGCAACGCATGCAGTGTTGCAGCAACAAAGAGTCCTGTCATTTTTATTGGCACGGGAGAGCATATGGATGAATTTGAAGTCTTTGATGTTAAACCTTTTGTTAGTCGCCTTTTAGGTATGCACCCCCTTCTTTCAGTTAGACACCTCTGCTCTGATGATATTCTTCTGCCTTCTGAAATTTATGCTCATAGTGCTTACATATAACTGATATTCCTACTAGGTATGGGTGACTGGTCTGGATTCATGGACAAAATTCATGAGGTTGTTCCTATGGATCAACAACCTGAGCTTCTGCAAAAACTTTCAGAAGGGAACTTTACCTTGAGGATTATGTATGAACAATTCCAGAATATACTAAAAATGGGTCCCATTGGCCAGGTTCTCATTTCGCCCCCTGTTTGATTGAATCTTTGTTAGAAAGTGTCCTATTTCGATTATTGTTCTCAATTGTGTGGTTATGATAACAGAGAAAAAAAAAATTCACTCCCCTGTTTGTTTGAATCTTTTTTAGAAAGTGCTGTGTTTTGATTATTCTTCTCAATTGTGTGGGTATGATAAGAGGGAAAAAAAAAGACTTTTCTTATCAATGACTTCTTTGTGAGTGTCATAATATCTCATGTAAGTGCTAGTTTGTGGAGAGTTGAATAACTTTTGCCACTTCACATGTTTAGAGAAATCTATCATCTTAGAGTATTTTTAATCTGTCGTTATTCCTCATTCTGGGCTTGATTGTAATATGGATTACAGTTTGTAATCTGTTATTCCTCATCCCGGGCTTGATTGTAATATGAATTACAGCTTTTAATTGCTTGTGCTTTTATTTAGTTTTAGACTGAAATGCTTGAGCATTAGGTATTTATTGCCTAGGACCTTTAATTGCACAAATCAACTTTTGTGGATCAGAAATTCTTTATAGAATAAGGTGTTAACTACAATCTGATTATTACTCAATCTTTTCTTCCAGTTGGTTGTCCCTATGCTATAGTCCTCTCTCTGACAAATCACCAGCTCCTGTGAACTTTGGGAGACCATCTAAACTTTCCTTTGGCAGAGTATAAATGGGTAGAGATATGTACCAGACTTTATCTTCCAATCTTTGAGATTCATGGGAAATCAATAAGATTAATCCATTATGCAATTAAAAAATGAGCTTTCATCTACAAGAACATGCTGTTGAGTCAACTCGTTCTCAGAATGATACATATTAGACCCTTTTTAGATAAAAGAATTTGACACTGAAAACTGGATTTAGCTTCAAGAGCAATACGTATAGACCTTCCCAATTTTCTCCCCAAGGGAAAGTTTTTGAACAAAAAATAATAAATAATAAAAGGAAGAAAGAAAAAGAACTAATATCTTCTATGCATTTCTTTTCCAATTCGATTGCTGGTTTATATACAGGTCCGATTTGATTTGATGCTATCCATGCTCTTAACTTCTTGTTTGACTGCTATACCTCAAAAAATGAAAATGAGAAAAGCAAGAGAATTTGCGAGATGGAGGTAAATGGTGTAGAAAAAAGTGAGGGGGGAAAAAAATCCAAGAAGAGGGAAAAGGTAGGTATGAGAGTATTAGAGAAGAAAGATAGCTTAGAATCTGTCCCAAATTAATTTTATACAGTTGCATGAACTCTCTATTTTTTGTATGAACAATTCATGACACACTAAGTTGAACCATCTAATTAGAAGAGTTCTGCTTAGCAGTAAACAGTAGTATCATTCCAGGTAATAAAAGCTTTAGTACAGTAACGTTACTCTCCATGCTGACTGAAATGCTTACTTCTCTCTCCCTCAACCATTCTCTCCTTTGAGTTGTGACTTTCAGTTTATTATTCCTCTGGTCTCCTTTTGTAGGTTTTTTCAATGCTTCCTGGATTTAGTTCTGAATTAATGCCAAAAGGTCGTGAAAAGGAAAGCCAGGCAAAGATTAAGCGCTACATGACCATGATGGATTCAATGACTAATGAAGGCAAGTAAATGCTATTGATATATTTATTTTAAGTATATTGTCCCTTGGACATTGAAAACATACTTGTTTATTGAAGCTATTGGGTTTCTTAGTTAATCTCTAATTGCTGCTGATGTGTTGCAGAGTTGGATAGTTCAAATCCAAAGCTTATGAATGAGTCACGTATAATGAGGATAGCACGGGGTTCTGGTCGTTCAGTTAGAGATGTAATGGAAATGTTGGAAGAGTACAAGCGACTTGCAAAGATCTGGAGCAAAATGAAGGGACTTAAGATTCCAAAGAAGGGTGAAATGAGTGCCCTTTCTAGAAATATGAATGCACAACACATGAGCAAAGTTCTCCCACCTCAGATGTTGAAGCAGATTGGTGGCATGGGTGGCTTGCAAAATTTGATGAAGCAAATGGGTTCTGGTAAGGACATGATGGGCATGTTTGGAGGCGGGGACAAGTAAATGTGATTAGAAGTCTAGGAACTGCAAATGAGTTGAATTGGATTTCAGCTATGACTGTTACCTAGCGGAATAGGAAGGCATGGAGAGGTTTGATATGCAAATCAATACCACCAACAGTTTTGCACACACTTATTCTTGAAAGGTTAATGCATTTGACTCCATTCTTTTTATTTTTCTTCTCCCCTGCCTTGCAACAGCAACTTTGCATTTAAAAGTCGTCCCCTTTTTTTTTTTAAAAAAAAAAATTTAAGGTGGGTGAAGAAAAAATAGCTTTCAGGTATTTAAGCATTTAAAAAAAAAAAAAAAGGGGAATGACCAAAGATGCACTAGTGAGAACTTTGCATAATAAATCACATATTGTGTTTCAGTGCTGCTCTTGCTTTACTTTTTCGCTCATTATATCTACGTTTTCATCTGTAATGGAGTCGTTACTTTTGAGTTGACCGCTTAATCTTTTGCAGCTATAAACATTGCCAAAAACCGTCTTTCAAGAGTGGGATGGGAAGAAGCTTTGCCAAAAATCTCCTAGTTATGGAGAGCCTACACTGGCACGTCTTGCTAAAAATCTTTTAGGACTGGGGATGGCAAGTTACTCCTACCTTGCATGCCAAATGAAACACTAAATGCTCTTTGAACTTAAAATTTTGTTTAGTAAACTGTCCACTTGAATTGGTGCATTTATGCATTTACAGGATCTACTTTCACACGATGTAACCTTGATTTGAACCCGATCTGAACCCTGAATGATAATGATAATGTAAAAGCACACCTACAGAAATTGCAATACAGAAATTGTGGCAATACGAGTCTTCTTGCCGAACAGGTGACAGGTAGTGTTTGAACCAAGTGCTTTTCGCGTGAGAGAATGAGGAAAGCAGAAGGGTTTGATAGGCAATTTACAGAGGAGCGAGAACAAAATCATTTTCAGAAAAACTGAGAAACAAATGCATCGTAGCCAGTGAAGGGCATAGTTTCACAGCTAGGATGGATGCTATTCTTTTCCCAGAATTTGCCTAAAATATCAAGTAATCTCTCAAACGGCATTGGAAGAAAATTAACAAATTGCATGATTAACGGGAAGGGGCAAAAAAAAAAACCCACGTAATTAATGTCTATATCTCCAAATTTATCATGGCTGCCGCATTCAGTTTTACACTGATGTTTTCTAAAAAAATCATTACATATCATCTGGCTTGTGCATATATATCTGGTTTACAGTCAAAGCCTGATTCTCCATAACACAATCACGAGAAAATTGCCTCGTGGGTTTGAAGTATCAAACACCATGATCTCAAAACAAGCTGTTCTACTCATGTTGCCTAAAAATGTCAAGCAATCTTCAACAATTCCATGCATGTTTTGTATCTCGTCTCATGCTAGTTTTTCTTGCAGAGAACTCCAGAAAATCTGAAATCAGATGCAAATTTTTAGTTCAGAATAGTTACATGATCAGAGATGTCTCAGGGTGCAGAGGATGCATTCTCAACCAAATTGCCATACTCAGTTCACAAAATGGCTGTTATCATAGGCTAAAAATATTGTTAAATACAGCAGTTGAATCTAAACCGATTGTATGCAATCATCATGAAACTGCTCATTTGCTTGTTATGTATTTCAACAGCAGTACCTTTATACAAAATGGCTTTGCAAGAAGCATAACATCACAGTCCACGTGCAGAAAAACCATTGCTTTCTACTTTCTAGTAAGTACATACAAACCATGAGGTCAATAAGACAGGCTAGATTTTCCCTTCCACAAATAGCCAATTCGGAAAGTTCTATACAAATTATGAAAGATTCAGTCGTGGCTTTACTGATATAAAAGAGCTATCCAATAGTAAAATGGTAGTACTAACTTTAGAAACTAAACGACACCAACAGTGATGGTTGTTTAGCATAAAAAACCCCAACGAAAACTTCAAACAAAAGGCAAGCGGAACTCATGGCTGGCATAGAATTCATTGTCGAATCTCTAAAACGAATATCAGGTTGCCCAACAATCCATAGAAACAAAAAGAACCCAAGTAGGATGGCTAAATAAATAACTCTCAGCTTATGGACAACCAAACATAATCACATACTACTATAATAGGAACTACAAATCATTATTTGTTTAAGTTTTCATTCGATTACATTCTCAACTGGCTTTCAATAAAAGATCTTTTTTTACCACAAACATCTTCTATTGGGTCGAGAGCATGGGGAGACGAAAGGGGGGAACTCTTTGAGAAAGAAAAAAAGAAAAGGTCTCTTTAAATTCTATATTCAGCAACCTAATAGACAGTTCCCCAACCTGAGAACAAAAGTTCACATGGCTAGTACTCGGAACGATTAGGAAAATCAAGCAAGAAGAAAATGTCAAAGTAACCAATCCTTAAAACCAACAGTTGCCCTTTTCAAGTCGCCAACAAGAAGTTTTCCATTACACTACATGAGTATATTCCTATGAGCATGCACTGATCAAACACATATTCCATGGACAGTAATCAGAAACCACTGAAAAGATAATTCTTTCTCCATTCCATTGTTGCAAATCCCTAGAGAGAAAAAGAGATATGTACTCTTGTACGATTAAAAAAATAATAATAACACGAACACAGAGGTCCAACACATACCAGTGAGATATCCTGATAGCAATCAATTGCAACAAATGCAAAGGGTGCATTGCATCAAATTCTTCAGTATCTGAGAGAAACCCCATTTCCATTTTCACACTAATGGCACTAAATTAGCATGCTAAACCAAAATTGCACCAGAAGAATAAGAACTTTCCCACACTTCAATACCCTCGGCATCTTCCCTACTAACAAACAACCTATCTCCACCACCTTCAATTTTCCTAATCACCCCTCTCGTTGAATCCTCCACTTTATCCACGAAATTTCTCCTATACAACCCCTCATCAGCCCCATTATTCTCTTTTGACCACACCTCTAAACTCCCATCTCTTCCCACAAAAACCTGACTCTTGTAACAATGTAGTACACTGCTACTTGCACCACCAATAAAACTCATGCTAGGGTTCTTATCCTTAATATAAACCCACGGATCATCCACTAGATTACGCAAATCTGCCACTGCTAAATCACCAGACTTTGAACAGACTTTAAACAAAGTAAACCCACCCACGTCAACGTCCGCGTCCGCAAACGAGTCGCCGAACCTGCTGCTTCGTCCCGAACCTGGCTCATTCGTCTCCCAAATAACTTCACCACTCCGTGGATCCCACATTCTAATATAACCTGAATAACCAAACGCCCCAGACGTAACAGCCGAACCGATTATCGCGCCGGTCTCCGGCAGCCACGTCAGCTTTCCGGGGGCCGTGTTCTTGGAAGAGCTCCCCGATTGTCTCCCGATCTCTGATGAGATCTGAAGCGTTGATTTGTCAATTAATAATATGCAATTCTCTCTATGTGGACAATCAAAGGTGGCAAAGATTTGACTCGGGGAGTCGGCGATTGAGCTGACTCGCGCTTTGTAGATTCTCGGATCCGATGAGTCAGTCCAGTGAGTTGAACCGAGGTAGCGCGCACTAGAGAAATCGTAGAAATGGAGCCCCGCGGTGGAGTCGGAACCGATGGCGGCGAGGTCGGGACATACGTGGCGGATGGAGGTGATCTCTTCGAGATGCGTACGAACTGTGGAGACGTGGGTGAGGTTGTGATCGTAGAAGGAGATTTGGCCACCGTGAGCGACGCAGACAGAGCCGTCGTCTGCTGCCGCGTTGAATGAGGATACAACGCCGTCGGAGGCGGGGAAGATGGTGGAGACAAAGGAAGCGTCGATTCCTGAGAGAGGAGGAGGAGCGATGGCGAGGCGGAGGCGCGAGTCGATGCCGTAATAAAGAGCCTCGTCGTCGAGTTCTTGCTTGGAGAAACGGCGTGCGGTGGAAGGGAGATGGTTGGAGCGGAGGAGAAAGAGGAGGACGGAAAAAATCTCCGGGTCGCGGTCAACGAAAATGGGGTCATGGCTAGGTAGGGTGGAGAGAGTGGATAACAGTGAATCCGGACCGCCCGATTGAAGTGTGGATATTGTGGTTTCAAAAAGCTTACCTCCAACGTTGAGCTTGACGCGGTCGCTCGAGAGGGAATTAGGGATAGAATTGGAAATTTCGTTTTCCATAAGAGTGAGAGGTTAGTTACTGTAGAACAGGAAGAAGGGAGGAGGAGGGCGGGGGAGGGAAGCAAGGAGAGGGAAATGGAGACGAAATTGACTGAAAAGCCCTTGCTTATGGTTCTCTAGTTTGCTGGGGGTAATGGAGTAGTGAATGGATGGTTTAGTCATTGTGGTGTTGATTATATTTAGACAAACCAGATAAGAGTACAAAAATTAGAACCTATTTAGGTGTTAAGAAGATGCAAGTGAAGCTAATCACTATGTTTCTCATTTGGATATTATATGGCTAAATACATCATACTGTCCTTCATTTTAATCTATTTTAATAATCAATCTCTAATTTTGGATTTGACTTTTTCTAAATTCATTTTTTTTTAATTTAGTTGATATTTTAATTTTTTATCAAGATAATAATCACATAAATAGTTTTATTATTATAGAAATCATTCACTAAGATGTATCTATGACTTTCTAAAAATTTAAAATCATTTCGAGTTATTTTTATTTTTATTTTTTATATTGTTAATGTTAAAAAAATAAAACAGTATATTTTATGAACTTGAAAAAGATTGAATATTTTTTCATGTATGTGGAAAGTTTCAATTCAAAATTTCAAAATATCAAGAATTGAAGATAGCTAAAAATAGGTAAAAAAAAAAAAGAAAGAGAGAGAGAGATCAAATCCAAAATTTTTAAAAAAATCAATGATTGATTTTAAAATGAAGTAAAGTTTATAAAAAGTTTGGCACGTTTATCTTATTATATTTTGATATATAAAATGGATGTACATAGAGACACCAGTTCAAAAAATATTGTGTCTAAGTACATTACATATTAAAAAAAAAAACATATTATATTTATGTTGGAATTGAAGTTTATGATATTTTTATGAGTTAATTAGATATAGATAGATATGTTACATTAAAAAAAAAAGGGGGTGAAATTTAAACCTAAAACCTTAGATTAAAGGAGTCTTCTTCTTATCACCTAAACAATTCTTCAAAAACATTAAATATCATATCAGTTTGGAAGTACCAAGCCAACAAATAACTAATCTAGGATTTGGAGTTTAAATATATTATATAGTATTTTTTTTTAATGATAAAATTGAAAATAGTATAAAACAGGCTAACTACTTGTAAACAAGGAAAATTGCACCACATGCAAATCAGGATTACCTTTACAAATAAAACTAATCAGATGCAATGAAGATACGTCAATTTACTTAATAGGTGGCGTTCGTATTCAAATCGGAAACAAGACCATAATTTTATTTGAAGCTAAATAAATCTTTTTCATAATGTGAAAACAGGATAAATGCACTATAAATATACCATTTTTTTAAAATTGTAATCAAGTATTTTTGTTAATTTTTTTATTAAATAATGATGTGTATGTTACTTCCATATATCAAATTATAATGTTTTTCTTTCTTTCTTCAATCAAATTAGATTTTTTACTCGCTACGTTACGAGTTAAATAAAATATATAAAATTATTTAGAAAAATTATTTCAATTTAATAATATATTTTATGATAAAAAAATAATTATAATTTTTTAATCAAAAATTTTATATTTATATATTTCTTATTTGTGTTTTAAAATTTTAGAAATAAATAATAAAGAAAACAAATTATTGGTTTTCTTAAAATTTTAACACCTAACATTATTAAGAAATGAAAATTAAAAAAAAATTCAATTTTTAGAAAAAAAAAAAAAAAGGCCAGCCGTACTGTTCATGTAAACAGTAACCGGATGGAAATTAAAAATAAATGTTTACTGTTTAGAAAGAAAAAAAAAAGGGGGCCAAGTCGATTACTGTTCAAATGAACAGTAAACGTTAATAAAAGGAGAAGAAGGCCAGTGTTGGTACAAAAAAAAGTGAAAATTAAAAAAAAAAAAAAAAAACTGTAGCAATGAATAGTGATTGACACTATTTATTGCTACAATAAAAAATCATTTTCCTTTATATTTACATGTTTTTTATTTGTGTTTTTAAATTTTAGAAATAAATAATAAAGAAAATAAATTATTGATTTTCTTAAAATTTTAACACCCAACATTATTAAGAAATGAAAATTAAAAAAAATTCAATTTTTAGGTAAAAAAAAAGGAGGCAGCTTCTTACTGTTCACGTGAACAATAAACGGATGGAAATTAAAAAAAAATGTTTAGTATTTAGAAAGGAAAAAAAAAAAAAAGGAAGTGCCAAGTCGTTTACTGTTCAAATGAACAATAAACATTAATTAAAAAAAAAAGAAAGGTAAGAAAGCCAGCATTGGCCAAAAAAAAAGTGAAAATTTAATTTAAAAAACACTCGTAGCAATGAACAGTATCAATCACTGTTTATTGCTACAGTAAAAATTATTTTCCTTTAGTATATAGGATAATACATATATTTTAATTTTTTCATTTAAATACATTAATTTTTTTCAAAACTATAAACCAAATAGTTTTGTCAATTCTTCGTATTACTTTCAGAATTCTAAATTAAAAATTTGTCTTCTTTTTATTTGAGAGGAAATTGGAGAAAACTTTCCTCTCAAATTATTCTACCATTTCAAAATTTGATAAGTAATTAAAAATACTAGTTTTTTAATTACAAAACCCTAAACAAAACTCAATTAAGTTTAGACATGAAAATTGAAAGAAAAAAATGTAAGATTTTGGTATTCAACGAGTAACGAACACGTCATCAATTAACAAAAAAATTAATAGAAATACTTAATTGCTAATTTGAATAAAATTAACATACTTAAACATAAAAAAAAAAAATCATGTATTAGATTGGAAAAAAAAAAAGAAGAAGCAAATTTAGTATTTAGTATTTTAGAGATAATAACATGTCATCTGTTAACATAAAAATTGAAGAAAACATGTGATTAAAAAATTTTTAAAAAAATTAATATAAAAAAATTACAATTTATATATCCAATTACGACATGGGTTTGGAAATTCCGTAAAGCCCCAGGCCAACGGAAATACCTCCTAAGGGAATTGCCTAAAACCGAAGCATAGATCAAGCTAGTTTGCGACATGGGTTTGGAAGTGATTGTAAATGGGCTTGGTTCCCTCCCAGGCTCACCAGGAAAGTGGGACTTGGCTTGCCAGTAGTGGGGTGGGCACGGGAGCAGAAAGGAAGCAACCAAAATGAATCAGAAAACAGCCTGACTTATCGTCAATGAATTTATGTACACCTTAGTTGTCTGCTCTGGAATTGAATTTGAATGTGTCAGGCCTCCTTTTCTGGATCTTACGTACCCAATTAAAGAAATCTACTGTTTCCCAAATAAATTTGGGATTCATGGGATCTAAAATAGGTAGAAGGTGATTTAACGGGGCTAATTATAAATTAGTTCTTTTAATTTTGAGTAACGAATTTATTAGGTTTTTTAATCTTAAAAAAATAATTATTTAAAATCATTTGATCAGTGACCAAATATTGTTTTATTTCCATTTTTTCGTGAAATTTTTCATAATATTTATTATTGAAAAAATCCAAAATAAAAAATAACATAAAATGAACAAAATTTTTTTAAATAATTACTTTTTAAAAAATAAAAGAGACTAATTAATTCATTTCTTAAAACTAAAAAAAATAATAATAATAATTTATAAATTTCTCATAATTTAACACTCATGCTTTTTTTTTTTTTTCCTTTTTTCCTTTAGCTTGAATCACAAAAAACCCATGCTCCATATAAATCAAGGGCAACGTACTAAGCCTAGTGTCACGGACTTGGCTTTTTTTCAAACTCTCGTGCAAGCACATTTACTTTAAGCCAAGCCAAGTCACCTTTCTTTAACACTAATTGTCAAGCAAGAAAGACACACATAAGAGATATAAAAACTCTTTGTATTGCTCTCTCAAATGCTTACAACTTTCTTAGAATACAACTCTTGTATTTCTCTCCTAGATTGGATGCTCGACCAAATCAAGAACCTTCCTATTTATAGTCCTCCACATCCTCAATTAATGGTTATAAATTATTCTTTATAATTCTCATACCTAAATATTTATAAGGAACTATCTATATATTTATAAACTAGAACAACGAGGACTCTTTAGAATTATTTAGGACATGTCTAGATTTCTCTTTGATACCCTAAAGGCTTCTAAACTTATCTAGAATTCTCAATTGACCTCCAAAAAATTTCTCTTTCATATGGGTCGTTACACTTTCCCCTATCTAATTTGGTGACGTCCTTAGTGCACCTTCATTATACTTTTTGACCTTCCGTGCAAATTACCACAAGGCTTCAACGAGTTCTAAACTAGCCTCGATCTCTAGTAAGCCTTTCTATTTCATGTAATACTTCTTCTTTGGTAGCATACCATGACATCGGATTGTGTAATCGTCAAGTATGACATCAACTTTTTTGTCATAAGAGTTAACCACTACTATAGATGCCCTATGAGAAACTCGTAGTTCGGACCCTCCTCATCCGTATGGTATGGCCAACAAATATGCACTCGAGTTGCTCCTTTGGTCCTTATCACTAAGCACCATTATATATGGAGTGAGAGGTTACGACCCGCCATGATCTCGAGCCGACTCTTACCAATAGACTCACCGTTTTATAGGTTATAAAAGAATTGGACAACATCTAATAACTTGGCCTAATCTCATTGATTAACACTCATAAATTACCTCAAGCATGTCTTTAACAAAGCATTAACCATTTTAGTTTGTCCATCTGTTTAAGGGTGAAAACTCATTGAGTAATGCAAATTCAATCCTAATAACTTGAATAGCTCAATTCAAAGCTTCCTAGTGAATCATAGATCTCGATCACCGATTATATATCACGACACACCTCAATATTTCTCCACATGTTTGAAAGGTAGCTTAGTAGTGTTCTCGAGTATCACATCTCGCTAGTGGTTGGTATGAAAGGGACATACTTTGGGAACTTGTCCATAACTATGATAATGCTTCCAAAGTTTTCGGATTTTGATAAAGCCACTATGTAGTTCATGGTTATTTTCTCTCATGGTCTCTTCG